CTATTCACATAGAGTTGTTGGTTAGCTCATATATACTCTAAGATCTGTGTAAAATCATAAAGTTATAATAATTTGTTTAAGACTAATAATGTGTTCTTTGGTACACGGAAAAAAAAAAAAAATATAATGGCGTACAGATACAAATATGATTGAGACAACATTAGACACAATACAAAAGGAAACCATCTAAAAAATGTGATTCCTCATCCAAAAAATGTGATTTTAATATTATTAAATTCAATCTATGAACCATTCTAAAATTTTCTGATATATTATGGTTTAGGACATAAACAATTATGTATCATCAATACCCTAATATCCAAGTATAACCTTACTTTTGATTGAAACATTTTAGTCTCAATAACATTAACATTGTTATAATGCAATAAATTTAAATAAAAAAAGAAGCTTTAGAGATAATAAACTTAATTCATATTAGCATTCTCTTTATATTAAAATATATCCATAAATAATCATAATGATAAATAATAAAATAATTTAACTTTTAATTAGTAATCTTAAAAGTATAAATATAAATATTGTTAATTGGGAGGATGTCAAATACAAATATAAAAAGAACATAAACTAAAAATATGCCATGTACTTATGGAGATTTTATTATATATACTTTTTTGAAAACATTTAATGGAAAGTATAAAATATATTAAAGTAGATTAGAAACAAATTAGTGTATATAACAATATCTTATATTCTAATTGAAAAGAGAGGACTTAATAGTTCCAGCTATTTTTTCTGTATAATAATTTAATTTTTATCAGTAATCTAATGGTACTTATTAAAACATAAATTAAATTAAATCTCTAAATGAGTCATCTGGCCATGGGATTCCATAGTGAGTTATTCCATTTATAGAAAATCTAGGACTTCACTCAACAATCAAAGTTTTAAATGTTATATAATGTTATGAGTTTTATTTATTATTTTATGATGTGTGCTGGTGATAGAGTCAATTCTAGATGGGATTTTTAATATATAGATTATATGATGTTTAAATATGCATGTTATCATTATGAATATATTAAAAATTAAAATTACAATTACAACTCTTTGAAATTATTAAGACATTAGTAATAAACAAAATACTCCCAGTGTAGCTGGGGCTTTAATAACTAATTTTCATTTCTCCCAGCATTGATAATGTTATTGCTATATATTAAATATAGTAACATATAAAAATATAATAATACCATTATTTAAGTGCTGGTTCTAACTTTATTAAAAATATTAATCTTTTTTATAATTGATATCTGTTTACAATCATGTTCTCATATAGATAATAGCGGTTTTTAAAAAATTAATTGTAATTATATTTTGAACTGAAATTTTCTATATTTTTAGCTATATATAATTTAAAATCCATTGGCTAAAGACATTCTTGAATAAAATATTTGCAAGTTTTTATTAAAGATTTCAAAGTCATCACATCCATAAGCTTTTATAATCATAACTTCTAGCATGATATCACCTAAATATCATCTTCATAAAGTGTAGCTTATTATTTTCAAAATTATTCCTAACAATCTAGATATTTAATTGTGAGTTGTTCTACAAATTTGTAACCTGAATCTTTTGTCATGAGAACTTCATTTAGACCACTTTTTTTAAGATTTTAACTTCTTATTTGTATAATAAAATTTCTATATTTTTCCTTCTCAAGTATTTTATCTCTTCATCATTTAAATTCCATAGTAGTTATCTTTAATATTATAAGGTACAAAATGTCTTACACACTCTTGATTTATTGGTAAAGCATGTTCTATATTATTGGTGTATTAATACATTTTATTTTATAAAACAGCTAATAAAAGTATTTTCAAAAATATTATTTCTATATTTCCGAGAGGATTTGTTATTTTTTCATAAATGTGACATATAATTTTTCTCGATCTAGAAACCATTAACTTTTATTCTTTTAAATACTTAATTTACCATTTTGAACTAACAAGATATTTTCCTTATGTTCTGATAGCAATTGAGATAATACATATGCAGAAAAAATCTAGAGCAAGATCAAAAGACTTATGTAAACCATATGGTTTAACTATAGCAAATAAATCATTGTGTCAATATTAAGGCAAAAGATTAAACTCATGTAAAGCTGCTGGTAGATTAAAGTAAGGTTATGAGCAAGAAGACTAATTAAAAACATAAAAGACTTTGTTAATTTTTTAGATATTATTAAGAAATGGATTTGATATTTGTATGTTTATGAGATATCTTATACCATATTAGATACTATGTCATATATGAGACATGAATTCATAGTTTTATCATTAAGCTTTAATACAGATTTGTCTTAATACAAACATTATATCTCTGATGTAATTATTATATTTGGATGAAGATAAAAGAATATTAGTTTGATTTAGAATCTAGAATGTAAACTATTCTCCACTGTTGGCTTATGCGGTTTAATATAAATATGGTAGCAAGCTAGATACATTTATTCATGTAAACCCGATAGATAATAGAAATTATATTATTATTTAGTAAAATATGAATGTTAGATGCATCATTATAGTTCAGATAAAAAGAATTTAACTCAGTATGCAATTAAAATTAAAATTTCTCCAAACTAAGCTATTTGTTTTTTGGTAGTCTATGATTTTTTTGTTTTGTGAAAACTCATCTGCTTTTCAAGCAAGGCAAAAATCCTGCATGTGTGTTTAGGGTTGTGCACCTTTTTCATAAAGGCAATGAAACATCAAATTCAAATTTATTGATGATAAAAAATGATCTTATCTTCCCCAACACTTGCATTATTATCTATTTGCATTATTGTGCATTTCTTTAGAGATGAATAGCTTTATATACAATCCAAATTTCTAAAATTGTAAATTTATAAAAAGAAGATTTATTTATCTTGGGTATGCTATATCTCCCAGAGATAAACTATATCAAGCTCTAAAATCAAGCTTTGGATACGAGAGCTTCTCTACCAAGAGTCTCAAAATATAATTGAAAGGGGGAATAATGCATGTTATTCATCATTTCTATTGTCACTTGAATATTCACAACAGAATTATAACTTGAAATTTGGTAACACATTAATATATAACTAAGTTATAGATAATTTTAGTTTATAATTTAGATTTATTTAAAGCTCTAATCTAAACAAAAATATTTTTAATTCAAAAATATAAAAAAATTAGAACATTAATAAAAAAATTATATATAAATACTACTCAAACCTAAATATACTTAACCCTAAGTATCCTAAGACCTTTAACCAATTGCAAAAACTCTTGCTTAAAAACCTTTTTCCTTTAGTTAAACTTTTTTGTATCATCTAGTGAGTCATTCTTTTTGGTTGCATATAATCTACCATTCTTCCTTGGAAACTCACAATGTAAATTTTATATCACTATATTAAACAATGGAGAGTCGTGACTTTTGGGATCATAAAAAATTTCAATTGTCGTTTAGGGCGCGTGACCACAAGGAGAGAGCATTGATCATCGCTTGCGGGAAGGTTCTGTGTGTGTGTGTGTGTGTCGTGAGATGAGCATAGAGCATGGAGAAGGCAAGATTTGGTTGCCCATGCATGATTAGGCCGAAGGAGTTGACATCACAGCCAACGCTGTTCATCCGGGGTTTATAATGACACCTTTGGGTACACATTCTACATAGTGAGTTTCTCTCTTTGCATCGTCATTGTTTTCAGGTACTTATATGGAGCTTTAATCTTCAGGCAGGGGTTCTCAAGTTCTTCTCCAGCTTCCTCTGGAAAAATGTGCCACAGGTAAGAAGAATTCTCCCAATTATCTGGAAATTTCGTGACTAATACGTGATCAATCTCTCAGGGCACTAAAAAAGTGGCACAGGTAAGAAAAATTCTCCCAATTATCTGGAAGTTTTTCGTGACTAATATGTGATCGATCTCTCAAGGCGCTGCTACAATGTGCTACACGGCTTTACATCCAAGCCTCAAGGACGTCACCAGGCAATACTTCATGGATTCCAACAAATCCAACTGTAGCGCTTATGGCAGAGATCCCGAGCTCACTCACAAGCTATGGACCTTCTCCCAGGAGCTTATAGACAAGCATTCTCCGTCCTAAAGGTAAAAGGTTGATGGTGCTAGAGACCGAGCAAGCTTTCGGTTACTCATGGAACTTTGATCTTCACTATAATCCACAGCTCTAAACAGCTTGTTGAAGTTTGAGAGGACCAGTGAGAAAGATGATGCTCAACTTGGCGGTTAATCATTGCTCCCGCCTGAATTATGGCAAGAAAGCAGCAACCAAGTGGCTTTACAATCACCACTCGCAAAACATACACGAGTTTGAGGTGCTTGCAGTTTTCGGCCACATCAAGCACCGAGACAGTGAGATTGAATGGATTCACACTATCATCAGCCAGCAACCTCTCCCTTTTCAGCTTCATGGATTCCACAGCAAGTTCTTTTTTGTACAAAATAAAGTTCTCATAATCTTGTGGAAACGATGATGCTTGTGCGCATGAATTGCTTGCTTTTGGCTTATGTCCAATATGGGTAATATCACGTACAATGACTGGGCAAGACCGCCGGGTCCAAGAACTATGCTGTGGTTATGGTGCAATTAGAAAATGTGTAATCCTGGTGGCTGTCACTCCCGGGAGGTAAACCCATCAACAGATATGTACGGTGAGAAAACGTGGATTTTGCATCAAGAAATGTGCAAGAAGAAACAATTCAGAAGAGTGACCTGAAAATACAAGGAATCTCTATTCTATTGTGCTATTGCTACATTTGCTTGAATACAAAGAAAAACCTCTTACCAATAAGAAACATCTTGCCATAACGATCTACAACAGATCTATGCTATTCTACTTTACTGAAAACTAGAGAACATGCACTAGCTTATGAACAATGGAAATATAAATTTGGAATACTGGGAATGGGTCGCAAGAGAAAGTAAAAAAATGTGGATGTCATTAGGTGATGTGATTGTAGAAGATGTTACTTGTAATAAAGAAGAATAAACATTCCAGATGCTATGGCTTTAGTTTCTGTGTCGAAGGCCTGTCTCGGCTTGGTGGCCAAGGAAGGGGCCGTGAAGGTTGATGGAAAGCTGGTCAAGCTCAAATGCTTGGAGAGAACACTGGCTCTTCATGGAGACTCCAGAAACTACTTTAAGATGGACGTGATCTTGGCGAGCACCTTAGTCGACGCTTACACGCGAAGTGGAAGCCTGATGGATGCTCGAAGAGTTTTCGACCAGATGTGCTCGCACGACGTCATGTCGTGGACTTCGCTGGTTCAGGCCTGTGTTGATTGTAGAGAGGAAGACAAGGCACTAGAGCTGTTCCAACGTATGCAATGCGAGGGGCAATGCGCTCACGCCTTCGAGCATTGTCACAGCAGAACTCAAGGCTTGCATCCGCGTCGCTGCAAGGGAAGAGGCCACTCAGGTGGATGGAAAGGCTGTCAAAGTTTCGTCACTGGAGAAAGGGATTGCTATCCATTGCCAGGGATCCAAACTCCTTCGACACTGGGACTTCGTTTTGGCCAGCAAGATGTACGCCAAGTGTGGGAGTCTGGTGGACGCCCAGCGAGTTTTCGACAGCATGCCACACCGTGGTGTAGTCTCGTGGACAGTGCTCATGTCAGGGTACGTGGACTGTGGTGAGCTCTTTGGGGGAATGAAACTGAAACTCGGTCAGGCCAGATGCTCGAGTCTTTGTCCCCGTGCTCAAGGGAAGCTCTTCTGTGGGATCGCTGGAAGTCACTAAAGCCATTGCTGGGGAAGTATACAGATATGGAGCCGAGAAAGACGTTGTGCTCTCCAATAGCATGGTGGACGTGTTTGGAAAAGCCAGAAGTATGAATGACGCACAGCAGACGTTTGATGCAGCTCAGACTCGAGATCTGATAGCATGAAACGCTGGATACAGCCGCCAGGGCGACGCCGAGAAGGTCCTGGATGTCTTTCACCGTGCTGTGGACAACGAAGGAGTTGAGCCGGACAGTGTGACGCTGCTGTGCGTCCTCGCTGCGTGCAGCCACGCCGGCATGGTGACTAGAGGCAGGAAGTACTTCGAGGCAATTCGAACTATGGAGTGAGTCCGAGGTGTGAGCACCGGGTGTGCGTGGTAGACATGCTCGGTCGGGCCAACCAGCTATGCGAGGCACTGGCAATGGTGACTAGCATGGGCTCAGAAGCGAGTGCGCTCACTTGGAGGACACTCCTGGCTGCTTGCCGGACGTGGAGAGATGTGGAGACCGGAAAGGTGGCGTTCAATCACTCGTGAAGATTGACGACAGAGACACGGCAGCCTACTCTCTCATGTCCAACCTGCTTGGGAGCGTCGGATTGTGGGACGAGCAGTCACGGCTCCTGCGAAGTCAAGAGGAACTCTTCGCCCAGCAGCAGGCAGTGGCATCCTACATCGACTGCGGAGGATTGGTGAAAGAGTGAGGAAGGCCCGTGCTTGTCTTGCCGAGAAAACAAGCGTCAGTCCGACACTACCGCGCGTGCCGCCAATTGAAGGGATGCGAGCTCATCCGCGAGAAAGCACTTCCACTGGCAAGAGACACCATCCGGGACCTCCTCAACCTTATCCTTGGCATGAATGAAGTAATCAAGCAGCGTTTTGTCACGAGATTTGCAAGGCATCGCTGCTCGATTGATGGACCCAAGAGCGTGGAGGAATCTGGTCTCCGGTGCCATCCTCTTCGGCACCGGCAGCAAGCTTTACCTTCTTGGCAGTGATGGTTTTTTCCTTTCTTTATAACTTCATCTTTTTCGAGATGTTTTTCTGATGTACCTTTAATATCAACTTTGGAGCCTGATTATTGGAGGATCTGCTACACAATGAACAAGAATATTACTCCTGTGAATTCTTGTGCCAGCACTTTACAGGATTTCTTATTTATTGAGTTGGTATCAATTTAGTCCCAAAGTGCAATTCATTTTGGATTTGTTGCCAATGTAATGGTGCACATTCAAAGTGTATAAGACTAAAATGGCAAGTATCTATTAAGGTAAATATCTTTAGCACTACTGTGGAGATTTGTTTGAAAACTAATGTGAGCAAAAGAATGACCATAGAATATGTGAACTTGATGATAGTCTATCTACTACTGGCAATTCCTGTCATATGATTTCTTGTGTTCTTGTAACTACTGTTAGTAGGGCAGTGAGACAAAACAACAAAACAAAAAAAAACAAACAAAAAAAAACAAAACATGGGTTTAATGTCAGAGAATGAAAATGGTAAATGTGAGCAACACCCTTGGTAAGATGGAAAAACAATGCATACATTGTACCTTTTTTTTTAATGAAGGACAGTGTTTTTAATTGTAATTGTGATGCGAGAATAGCAACTGAAAAATCACATCCTTTTCAATGCTTTATCCAAAGACTGTTAATTTTAAATATTTAATACAAAATTATAGTAGTGCAGCATCAAACATCAAAGAGATTGTAGTAGGTGGCCCTAATTATTTTAAGATATATGGACAAATTTAACATAATATTGGAAGTTTCAAACCAAATAATGAAAAATAGTCACAATTATATATTTGGATACTGCTCGAGCAACAGAAATAAGAATAAAAAACAAACACAACTCTAAGTGCAATGAGCAACTAATGCGTGATCTTGATAAATTATTAAAAGAGATAAATCCCTATGCTAATGCATTCATAAACAAACCTACAACCTTCTTGAATGTCAAAGGGTCAGGACTGGTAATGACCACAAAGATAGTTCAGTCAATTGACCATTTTAACCTCGTACATTTTGATATGGTATGTTCGATTCTTGATGGAACACAATGATTGACTACTTTTGTAAACAAATATTTTTGTACTCGCATGTTATTAGTTTTTATTCTTTCCATGGTTGATCCACAAGGGACCTTTTTCTCCTGTAGACCACATGTCAGAAACAGGATTCAACAAATCTTATTCTCACCTGCGCCTAACGTTAATGGGCAGGCCAGCTTTTGGTATATGTATGGGTGCAAAATCTGATCCATCAGGAGCTCCACAATGTTCACACCTGGAAACAGGTTCAAAACCAGAAGCCCTTCACCCGTCATACCTATATCTCAGGGTAAAGTGATGCACGAACACGAGAAGCTCAAGATTTGCGAGTTCTCGTCCCATGCAGACGTGTGCACCGTTTCCAAATGGCGTAAATGTGTACGGTTTTGGTGCCACCTAACAATTTGTGTTGAGCACTAACATTTTGAGCATCTCGTACTCGTTACCTTGAACCTAGAAGTATCAAACTCTTCTGGGTTTGGATGGTATTCAGGGCTGAGGTGAAACACCCAGTGTGCAACTAGAAGCCGCCAGCCCTTGGGAAATATGAAACCTGGGAAAGACAAACAGAATCTGGTAAATGTGATGTTTGTGGATGGATAGTATTCAGTTAGACCTCCATATTCAACATCTTCAACGATTTCTCTGTAGGAGAAATCAGTCAAATTTGCGACTCGCAGAGTCTCTTTGACGACCTGATGATAAAGGTAAGTCCAAAGTTGTCCACGTCATGCACTTACTCGAATTGACAAAGGCATCTGGTCAGTAATATCAGACCACGTGAGGGTCTCTTTGGGAAATGACTTCTTTTGCTGAATAATTTCATGCTCAGCCTGCCAAGCAAATATGTGATGGCTTTTAATGGCTGGCATATCTTCTTACAGTAACATCCTCCAAAAGCTTTGGGTGGTCCATTAAATTTTTCAGCGTCCAGGTCAATGCTGCAGCAACAGTATCATGCCCAGCAAAAAGTAAAGTTAAAATGTTGTCATGAATATCTTTGGAACTGAGCTTTGTGCCATCTTCATCCTCAACATCCATCAGTATCCCAAGAATGTCACTCTGGGGCCGCCTTTCCAGCCTTCGCCAGCTTATAATCTTATCTATAAGTGCACAGGCCTTTTTCCTGCTGTCCTGAATACAAACCTGAGGCTGTTCAGTGCGTCTTTCGTTTTCAGTACCTTTAGAGCCTTGTGGTAATTTGTTCCGGGTATGTTGATTGGCAACGAGCTCACACCACGAACCAGATGTTCACACGCTTTCGACAATTCCTCCTTCTCATGCTGTGGGGCAGCTCCTATTATAAACTCCATCGCGACTTTAAATGCGTACTGTAATATGAGACACTTATGACAGTAAGTTGGCATCTCAACATACTAGTCAGGTAAAAACTGACTTGCTTTGCCTCGTCTAAAGCGTTTATAGATCTTCCTTCCCATGTCTGCATCACCATTAGCGCCAGCTCCTCAATAAGAGGAATAGAAGAAGGAAGGGTCTCTGGGAGAAGTGGGCGATGCATAAGCTTCCTTAATCTATGATGCAGTTTATGATTTTGGTAGCCAAAGAAAGACTCTCCAAGAAGTTTTTCAACTATTGGCAATCCACGTTGGCGGAAACAAGCTGCCTGGTCAACAAGAACGAATTTTGCAGCTTCCGGAGTCGTTATAACAATCGAAGGATGTCCAAACAAGTGAGTTTTGAAAACCCTCCCATATCTGCATGTAGAAATATGAAAACCAGTTTTTTCGTTTAGAGTTCAAACCTCTGCATCCTGTAAACATAAAAATCGTGTTGGTGGACTTTGAGGCTGATATTTTCTCCGACGAAAGGTACCCCAAGTGATCCTGGAGGAACTTTTAGTCCCTTGAAGGGTAATCTTAGGCGATAGAGCAGAGGTAATACAACAGCAGTGGCTACAACCAGAGATACAACAGCCCATACCACCTCTGACTCTCTATCCATTTGTTCTTCTATTTTTTGGCTTCCTAGAACTCTGTCAGTCGCCAGAAGGGCAGGAAATATGTTCAGAAAGACGCGCCTCATGGGTTAGGTTTTGTTAATTCATTAGCCTGACATTAATGAGTATAAGCAACTAACAAGTCGACCAGTCCGATTCATAGTCCAAAGGATCTTTTGAAACGTCAGAGACAGACTTGAGCAAAGTCTTTGATCCAACGACTGCGTCCTTCTCCATCTCTTTGCACACACAGTCAAACATATTGAGGAACTTCTTCATTGTTGAGAACAGGTGTGCTTGCTTTTCAGCCAGCGGATCCTCACCAAAATATACTGCTAGATCGCTGTAGCTACTCATTGCTCTTATTTGCAGCTCTTTAAGCTCACTAATCCCTACTTTTGCTTCTTGGAAGAAAGGTACCACTATATCGCTCCTGGAAACATTTGTCTCTTCATCAACTGTTCGTAGACCGGATTCCAATTCCCTAAGGTTTTCCTGCATTCTTTCCAGACTTAAGTTTGCTGCCATCTTAACGTCCCTTAGCTCATCCGAAAGTCCCTTTACCTGCTACCATATGCGAATCTTGATTCTGTACAAAGAGGCTGTGTTACGTACCTGCATATCTGTTTTATAAAGCTGCGATACCACGAAGTGTAGTAACGTAGTCTTCTTATTGGAGCCTTTAACATCCATGAGTTTTAACAAGGTATCCAGTTTAAAACCCTTAGCTGCCCCACGATACGAGTTTCCATTTAAATGGTTCCCCACAGCTAGAACCATCTCAAGGATCTTCACAATGGTCTTGTTTT